CGGTCGCGGCGCGGGCGCGGGCGCGGGCGCGGGCGTTCGCATGCCGGCCGGCGCCGCGGCTGCGGAGGACGGTGGCGTTGGCGCTGTGTGTGTGCTGGCCGCTGGTGCTGCATTGTTCAGGGTCTGACAAGGGGCGCCCGCACGCTGCGACGCTGCACGCAGCGGCGGCCGCCATTGCCCCGCTGCTGCTGCATGGGCGCACGGCTGCGGGCCGGCTGCAATGGCCGGGCACCAGGCCAATAGACGGCCTGGCCTGGGACTGCATCGTCGGTCCCAGCACGGCCCGCGGCCCTACTTTGCCGCGGAGGTCTAAATTCACCCTCAGATCCGGCAGATCGAATGCTGTACGATGCTATGTGATTCGATTGATACGTCGCAATAACGTATGTATTACAACGGGGTTTTTGTGAAGAGTCTGTCCTGGATGGGCGCGTTGGCACGCGTGCTACCGTCATCTCTGGTCCTCCCCGAGCAGCGGGGCCCACATCAGCCTTGCCACAGCGCAGCCGTCGGCGCGCTACCTGTTCTTCAGGCCGCAATGTGTGACGGTGTCGTGACTCTTTTGGCATTTTCAGTGTTGCACGACGAAGAATGGAGCTGACTGCCGATGCTTTGGAACCAGGCGCTGCACCGACAGCTGCCAAGGAACAGCTCGAGCAAACACAGCCGGGCTCGGCACCATCAACCCCAACATAGCCCTGATCGACGTGCGTCAAACGCGCGAATGGGAGGACGGGAAGGCTGGACGCCGCCTCCCTGCCGTCCGCGAACGATACCTGCTAATGGTGATGCAAAGGGGACGCGCGGCCGGAGCGACAAATGAGAAGTGCATGAGGGCAATACTGTGGGCAGCAATGAACCAAGCCTTGCACCCGTGTTCCGCTCAATCACACCCACTGCACACACTTTTTGCGCACATGGGGGGGCGGTCTACACGGGCACTGCCCAACTGCTGATGACAGACTGGGGCCTGCCACACAAACTGCCATTAACAGGGGTTTGCAGCTGTGCACGTGCGCAGTGACCACACTGCATCTGCCTATCCAGGCTAGCAAATATATTGAGCACGATCCAGAAGAGCTGGGTAAGAAGTCGAGACGAACACTCTCAGGACCAACTTGAAGGGCGGGGCTGGTGCCCTCCCACCCATTGCCATCGGCCCAGTGGGTGGGGCTTTAGCCCCTGCAAGCTGGGCCCCTTCGCCGTCCTTACTTTCTGAGGGCTTGGCATAGGCAGCCTACTTGAGTTGTGCGTCCTTCTTGACGTATACCATACACCGGGGCACAGTATGAGCTTCCTAACCTTGCGTGTATGACTCCCAGGCTGCAAATTGCTTGGCCTCGCACCTAGCAGGCTAAGGTTGCTCAACTGCTTCCTTTGCTACATATATACTTCAACACTGTCTTCTGCATCCAAGAGGACAAACAAGCAAGCAGGCCGAAAGAAAGCTGCATCGGCAGGCCAGGCAGGTCGATTCTGGGCAAGCAGACAGACAAGCATTACTACTTAGTGACATGGGGTGTAGGCGGTGCTTAAACCACGGGCCTTCACCTGCACCTGGGAATTGTGAGGGCATGTATGGGGAGTGAGGAGCTCCGCATGATTTTCCAAATACAGGGACCATTTGTGTGCCCGTGGCCGACAATCGCAGTGGGCATTGGTAGCACTGAGCAGCCCCCAGTGTGCAGATGTCACGCCTGCCTTCCCAGCTAATGTTAGGAAGTACAGTAACCGCTTTCCTGCTCTGCTTGCAACTGTGTCAACCTGAGATCATTGGCATTCCCCCATATGCGTTGTCCTTGCATCTCCACTGTGAGTCAGCCAAATGGACCACCCTTCGTTCATATAGCTTTGGGTAGGAGGCCGAGAGCAGCTATGCATACCCCAGACCTGGGACGATGAATATGATCGTTACAGCCGCTCTGTGCCCTGCCAGCAGTGTAGACACAAAGACATTATTGAAAGGGTGTGCATACGATGAAGCTGATTGGCAGGTGAGTGTTGGAGTGTTCAAAATCACACGTGAACCCATGGCGCGTGCACACCCATGCACGCGTGCAGTCGTCTCAATCGGGTGGTCTGGTCTCAACCATTCGAGCAGCCTGACTAAATCTTGTCATCACCTGTGGTGGCAAGGTTGATCAGCACTCCTACCAGGTCGTGGAACAAACAACAATGTCAAATAAATCTTACGTCTCACCCGCGGCCGACACACACATACATAGTGTAGACACGAGCTCGCGCCAACCCAGGTGATCCTAGAAACAAGTGTTATCACCAGACGAGTTTGGGAAGTATAGAATATTCTTGGCACAACTGCCAGTGACCTGAAAACAACCAGATCATCGCGACAGAATAGCCGATTCATTTCAGACACGGGCAGTCCGCCAATACATTATTGCTTATGAAAATTGCTACACATCTTGATCATGGGCAGTGGCAAATGAGGCCAGGAAGCGGCACGCGGCGGTTGCGTGCCTTGGCGCAGTGGAGATGGCACGGTCTAGCGCTGTCGCTGTTGCTGCTGGCAGTGGCGAGCTGGCTGTGGCTCGTTCATCATTTTCAGGTGAGGCAACTCCTGCCGTACACATGCATGCTCTGCAAGTTATCACACCCATACAAGCGGCAAGCCGACGGTTGCTCCGCCGGTGGCCTGCCAGGCAGCTGCCCCGGACGGGCCTTCAGTGCTGGAGCAGCAGCTTCACGGCATCCTCGTGCGCCTGGACGCCCTCGAGCGCCAAGCCACGGGCAAGCGCCCCGCACAGGTGCGGGCCTCGCCGCCCCCGTCCCCGCCCCCGCCCCCGCGCCGCCCTTCGCCCGAG